TTTTGTGCTTTGTAATGTATTTTTTGGGGAAACACTTTAGATTTTTTTGAAAGCTTTGTAATGGGGCTATTATAATCATGAATTTCTACTTGTTAATGCACAATTTGTTAATGTATGTGATGACTGATTTACATTAGTTTATGATTGATTTACAGATTTACTTTCAGAGCCCTCACAAAGAATAACTGTCTATTTTACCCATTACACAGAGATTTAATGTATGTGACGACAGAGTTACATAACTTTATGCACATACACCATCTTCAGAATCTTATCACATATGTGGGAGTCTTGTAAAGGTAAAAAGAAAGTTAAAACGCATACATTAGATTTCATGGTGCTCATATGGAATAACTGTCTATGTCACACACTTCACAGAGACTTAATGTATGTGAAGACAGAGTTGCATCAGGTTTACATCAGTTTATGTGCATGGAACTCAGAGAAAGTTATCATATTTGTTACATGACGCAATTACTCTAGCTTCACATCCCAATTGCATTGTTGGCCTTGAGTGGAACACTAACCATTGTTTCGGACATCATTGTTAATGTCATATTTGTTCTGTCCGATCTCACCACTCGCCTGTTCTAGCCCTTCGTCGTTAAATAAATATTGAAAGCAAGGATCGTTAAAAAGCAAATTTGGTTCAAAAGCTGCAAAAAAACAGCACGTTTAATATAATACAATGCCTGACTATGAAGAAAAATAACACAAAAATTCAAAAAATTATAACACAAAAATTCAAACAATTATAACACAAAAATTGTAACAATTCAAGAAAAGCAGTAAAAGTGATAAGAACACGAAGAAGGGTTGGGCAGGGAAGGCCGGTGATGGAGCAAGGGTGGGGGGGTGGGGAAGCAGTGGATTGAGGGTGGTAGCTTAGGGTGGGTGCGGTGGTGGTGGTGGCTGGTCGGCCGCGAAGGAAGAGGCTGGGTCGGCGGCTAAGGAGAGATCGACGGCGAAGGGTAACTGGCCGGCGAAGGGTGGGTGAGGGACTGGGAATAGGTCAACGGGAAAGGGTAGGGTAACTGGCCGGCGGGACTAAGGACAGGCCATCGAAGGGTGGGGTGAGAGACTGGGAACAGGTCGACGGCGAAGGGTAGGGGAACCGGTCGGCAGCGACCTGCAAACGGGTCGTGGAGGTAAGAAAAAAGAAAAAAAAGGAGAAAAGGTAAAAAAAGCTTAAACAAGGAGGAAGCAAAGGAGGCAGGGGCGGGTGCACTGTAGCACGGTCCTTAAAAAAAATGGAACGCCCACCCTAAGCGCCCCCATACCCTGACGCAACAAGATTATGAAAAAATAAATCATAGTATAATCTCAATCTGGTTCTTAGAGAGATCACTTCATGCCTGATGCACACAAAGAACTACTACAAAGAGAACTCTCATACTGCCACTGTGGGAATTCAAGTCTAAGATCAATGAGCTTGACATCCTTTCCTTGGACCAGTTGAGCTATCCACAGGGCACACAGAATATTTATAGGATTAAAAAGATTAAATTCATACCTTGCCTAAAATTTCTCTCTCCTTGGACTGGTTGAGCTATTCATGCGGGCACACAAAAGATTTATAGGATTAAAATGATTAAATTCATACATTGCTTAAAATTTCTCCGCAAAATATTTTCTATTTATATCACTTTGAATTATAAGTAAGAATGTTGGCACTCTATATCACAACTTGATGTACATTTTACAGTACTTTTTAATATTATATATTGACAAAAAATATTTTTTGTCAAAGAAATGGAGGGCTCACAAGTCTACACTATATTTTTAGACCCACAAAACTATACCTAACGTTATACAGTTTAATAAAATGGTTTCGTTATAAATGGTGGAATTTAGCGTTCCGTTGTTGGATTTGAACGTTATACAGTACGGAGTATATTTTTGAAAGGAATGGTAAATTATAAAGCTACTTGGATATCAAGTTGTACACCAAGGATTTACGCTGACATTTTGATATCAGACATTTGCATATAAAAAAAAAATTCTGCACTGGAATTTTGTGCTAGTTTGAGCTATCAATGTACCAGTACAAATCTTTACCGTAAAATTTGGTGTATACAAAGTGATGTACACCTAGCATAGTTGAAATTAAATTGTACGGAAGAAATGAAGTCCAGTAATCAATCCACTCTCCCAGACATCGGTAGGGAATGAGAAGCTCGTGGTAAAAGATGTACTGTCAAATTAGTAGAGTGAGAAATCTACCACAAAAAACGAAGAGATTATATTTATTTCTACAATGATCATTGAAATGTCCAACCACTTATACGTTAAAATACAAAAACCTTTATTGACCTGCAACCTCAAACTTAAGCTTATGATTGTGTTGGTTCTTACTCTCAACCGCGATAAAGGCACCATTATGATCCCGAGCTAGGAAACCGATGCAAGACCGACCACAAGTTGTGTCGAAAGCATCAACATTAACCTTTAAAGAGTCATCCGATGGTTTCTCTCAATTAGACATGTTGCCTCTGGTCGTTTCTTATGATCCACGCGCAGTAAGCACAAGCCTGCAAATTGACTTCTTTAGCTATCTCTCTCTCTCTCTCTCTCTCTCTTTGTTTGTATGGTAGGCGGATAGTAACCCTTTGGAAGAGAGAAAATAAGGATGGAAAGAAAATAAAGGTCCAAAAGTAAAAAGGTGAGTGGATATAATGTACTATATATATAGTTTTACATTCACTCTATTAATTAGGAGGTAAAATAAATTTATTTTCATTACATCCTAAAATATCCAAACAAGAGATCGAAGAGAAAATAGTTTTATTTTCTCCTCCCAAATTTTCCATCCTGATTTTCTTTCCTTCCTAAAAAAAACTATCCAAACGGGGTAAGATATACATCTAAAAATTCATAAACTTTTTCATATGACTGATAAATACTTACATTTATTTTATTTTTTATTAAATCACTTAAGGAAAAGGTCAATGTGCATCCAATGTGTAATGTCGAAGCACTTGTGGTTTTCTAAATTACACCATTATAAAGAAACCATATAGTTTTTTTTTAACTTTTGAATAAAAAAATTATATTTGAATTTAAGGAGTGAGGAAGCTTGGTCGGGTTAAGATTTAGGAGCCATTTGCCTTTTGCTTCCCATAACTTGTTTTTCAAAAACAATTAGGCCCCGTTTGTACACGGAGTTTAAATTATGAAATTGGAATTGAAGACTTCAATTCCAATTTGAGTGTTTGGTAGTACAAAAATTATGTTGATTTGGAATTGATAGTGCAAAAAATGAATGGAAATTGGTGAATTCACGTCTATGGAATTGAATCTCATGGGATTTCCATTTCAATTCAATTCCAATTCCATCAATTCCGTATACCAAATGGACCCTTAACAATTTGATACTACAACAGTTAATTCCGAAAACCAAAATTGGGCAAAAAAATAAAGCAATACCAAATGAAGCCTTTATTGTATTTTATGAAATTTAATAAATATAATGTAAATATCTTGTAGTTAACACTTATGCATAAGAGAAAAAAAATGCACTATTTAAGTTTTTTAAATAAATACACTCTGTCTCAAAATAATAATCTTTATTTTTTTGGACATCCTAAAAAAGAGTCATTTTGACTTTGTTTGATTGGAAGTTTTGGGTTGTGGACTTCACCTCTCTATTTTTATTGTTGTGTGAATAACAAATATGCTTTTGGTTAAAAAAAAGTAACTATCTTCTTTTGGGTTGGAATTTCAGAGTTGAATGTTGGAAGAAACTAAAAAGAGTTAGAAGAAACAAAAAAGAGTTGGAAATAGTTGGAAGTTGGAAAATATTACGTAGTAGAAAAATTTAATTGTTATAAAGTCATTCAATTAAATGATCAACCAAATAAATATGTAAGAAATTCTCTAATTTTGGATAACACGAATTCATCATTGTTTTGTGTTTGATGTGATATATTATAAATTTGAATATATAATATCATTATTTTGCATTAATCATATATAAATACATTTTTAAATCGTTGTTGGAAGAAACTGAAAAAGTTAGAAGAAACTGAAGAAAGTTTCTTCATCCTAATTTAAATTGCATGTTTGAATTATTTTTTAAATCGCATGTTTGAATTATTTTTATATTAAAATCTAATACCAATTTTATTTAATTAATGAAAAAACATATTAATTTTAATTGTAAAAAGTCAAAATTAGAAAAAAAAAATCTGGAAAGAGCCATCAGCATGACCTAACTACTCCCTCATATGCTGAATGGGTGAGATGACCCCTAACAGCTCAGTGTACTCTTTCAAAATCAATTTGAAATTTGAATGCACATTTTGTAGGGTAAATTCTTATGAGAAAGTTACCCTTAGTGTAGAAGGGGTAAAACAAGTGTGGAAAGAAAATCTACCCACTGTTGAATGGACATAAGATCTATGATAAAACACTTTTTTTGAAATTACTCATAGATGAAGTTCTCATTTTATTTATGAATTAGCTGTATAGAATACCTCTCCCAAAATAAAATTTCACAATTAATCAGATACAATTCTCACAGAGTACTAATAAAAAAAAGTAAAAGTGCAATTGAAATATATGCATGGAAGAGAGAAAATTGTAATTTTGTTTGGACGAAAAAGAAAAGAATTGTAAAACCTTCTTGTGAGACAGAGGATATACAATGTTACGGAGTATTTTTTTCATTTGCATAAATTTTAATCATATAATTTTACTTTTTTAAAAAAAAATTGTAGAAAAATAAATGAGATTGGATAATAAAAAGAAAACATGTTCTTTTCAAGTAATTCTAGGTTCACTTGAAGCCACAATTCCACATCAAATAAGTGAAAAAAAAATAAATACTCCGTAATAAATTGTTCAACTTTCAATCTAGTTCCAACACTTCTCAGTTCAATGCAATATGTTTCAATTGCAAAAGAACAAATACCAAGGAAAAAAGCTAATTAAGGGCAGAACTGGCAAAGCACATAAACATGAATTTATTTCTATTCTGTTATTTTTTTTATTGTAAATAGTTACAACAATGAACCAACCAATACTCCCCAGATGGTGTTCTTATATCACAACAAATCAATAATTCTATTTTGAGGGGAGAAAAAAAGAAAGAATAAGAATGATTTGGCCTCAGCATTTCACAGCTAATGGGGAAAAAAATGGAAATCCCTACCTGTTTTCTGTTATTTTTACTTGAACAGAATGCTGAGTATAAATAATTTGATTTTCTGGAGAAAACTAAATAAAGTCAGGCTGACCTGTGGACGTTAAACAACGGTGCCACATTCGGCTGTTGGGGTCCACACATCTCGCCTGAGAAATGACTTCGGGAATAGGAAAGTAGACATAGTGTGTGTTGCATATTCCGACAGTGATGCCACTATATCCAGCAAACGCACCGTGAACCTGCCAAAATCCCCCAAAGATAAAATACCCTTAAACTTTTAAAAATAACACAGAAAAGGGGTGAGATTATAAAAGATATAGATTTTAAACTTCTGTAAATGTAAATGTTTGTATACTTTTGTTAAGTACGCCGCATAATTTACTCCCCCCCCCCCAAATAATTCTGAAACATATTAACAAAAATATGGTTGAACTCACGGCATTTTGACCAAGTACAGTGCAGAGAATCCCATCTGATGCATTTGCACGGCATGCACGGATCATGTATGTAGGATCAATGTATTTCACATCTGCTGGTGCTCCGATCCCCTTGAAGTACTTCTTTATCTGGCAAAGAAGTATAAGGAGAAGGGTTTTAAAAAAATCCGTTTAACTTGTATCACAATTTGCATTTCATAAATAATGATAGAGAAAAGTGAGGACACAACTGCTGAAGTGATTGCTTATTAGCAATGGGAGGATTTAGAAATAACGATTTGTGAACATTGTAGGTATATCTCAAACGCTATGGAATTTTCCATTTCCCTCCTAAAGATTATTGAAATGTAACTTATTGGGACCATAAATTAATCATAGTGCAGGACCTCATTTTTAGGAAACACCAAAACCTTGCATCACATAATTAATATCAAGAGAAACAAAGATTGACAAAGGTTCAACGTCTAACCTCTTGTTGTATATGAACACCAATGTCTCCAAGCACGGTATTTCCAGATGCGTCCTTGGCATTTGTTTTCTTAAGGAAAATCTGGAAGGGAAGTTGAGTTAAGTGGCAAACAGGCAAGGCTTTATAAACAGTAAACACACACTAGAAATGTTGAAAGTGATGCAACTACAGCTTGGGTAGAGGGAAGGGAAAGTCTTTTTTGTCTTGTCCGGCATCAACTTCAATTAGTAGAAATATAATTGTAGCATTTGATTTGATCTTTATCATAGCTTGTAAGTTTAATACTAATTTATAAAGGTCAACTACCTAACCAACCATGTACTGATGCATCTTGGATACATATTTGCTGTGAAATCTAAAATTAGATCTCCACAGAAATCTTGGTGCTTGTTTGTCTGGAAGAGTTTGGAGGGAAGGAGAGGAAAGTGGAGTGTTGAGGGGTTCGTTAGGAGAATTGGAGGGAAAGGGCAGGACAATAGATCTATTAAACAAACTCCTCAGATCTCACTACCCAAATTTATTCTACATTACAATTGTTATACGTATAGATTACTACGATATTTTTAGCTGCAAACAATATTATATCAAATATAATGTTTTTTTGAAATGTTTTTCTATAATAACAATTCCTCCTCATTCTTCCATCAAATAGGGTACTACATCTTTTTAAATACTTCCAATTCCCACCTTCCCCTCTTTTGAACCAAACAAAGGCTAAGGGTGGACAATCTTCTGGAGAAACTTTATTCATTTCCACTTATTCAAGGAAAATGCTATTATGTGTTTGTCACATGCCTCCTATTTAGGGTATGTGATATTCTTTTGATATCATTTAGAATAAAAAATGTTCTTTAATTATAAAGAATGTTTTTTTAATTTTAAAACATTTCACGACTAATTTTTCAATCAATTTACAACGTTTCACTCATACATCACTACTTTAGTGTTTTCTGTTCACAAAATATCTTTAATTTTTAATTTAAAACACAAAAAGTCCTTTCACTAAAGCTACTTGTGTAAGAAAAAAACTCACTTTAAATGCACACAAATATCCCTTTAAGCTGTGTGTGTGTGTGTGAGAGAGAGAGAGAGGGGGGGGGAACAGAGGTTGGGGAGGAGATTATTGCACAATAACTTGCCGTTATGGGCCCCTCACATACAAGACAAAGTCCATTTAATCGATGCCAAGCCAGTGGACTTAAAATGATAGGATTGTGACATCCATCTCCCCCCCCCCTCAGAATTTTACTGTCACAGGGAACAGTGGTTACCACTAAATGTTGGGAGATCAAATTACAATATGATACAGTATCTGAATCTCATGTGCCAAGGAGAACAAAGAAATGCAGAGTAATAAGCATGGCATAACTTTACCTGGCCTGCACCCTCAGCCACACAGAGTACAGCTGAACCCTTTGTGTCAAGAAGATACTTTAGATGTCTCAGAACACCATGTGGTCCATCCAGATTAAATGGTACCTGGAAATGTACGATAAGAGACGACTAATCCGTTAAAGTATAGAAATATAACAATACTAGCTTTAGTAATATTATATTTTATATTCACATTAAGTTGAGTATGTTTGGATCCCGGTAGAATGCTAGGGAAAAGAAAAAAAAGTTCACGAAATTATTTGTCTTATGTTTAGTTTTACTTTGGAAAAATGGGAAGGGAAATGAAATTGGTAATTTACCTAAATAGGACTAAAACATAATGACTTTCTCAAAACAAAATAAGACCATATGTTTTTATTTCCCAATGTAGGACCATTGGTCATTATCTATTAGTCATTATTCAACTAAATGTCCAGCATCACTTGGACATTATTCTTCTCACTAGTCATTATTAAGTCCTATTTAGGGAATAAAAAAGTTTAAGTCCTACATTGGAAAATGTATGTTTTAGTCCTATACAGTGCAAATTTCACAAATGAAAAACTCCCTCTGTTCCAGAAAGAATGCCACGGTTACTATTCTGGCCTCTCGATAACTTTTGTTTGTTTACTCGTTTTGGTTGGCCATTTGATAAAATAAAATATTCTTGTCGCATCTTGTTTTGTAGAACTTTTCATGTACTTTTGAATGGTGTAATTCTTATTTTTTATTACTCTACCAATTTGAAAATATAATGATTTTAAAAGAGATGATATTTTGCACGTCGTTCGAAATGTTGCAAATAATTTGGGACGGAGGGAGTATGATCTTTTTAAAAAGATATAGTACATATTTTGTAGATCCTTAAGGTTTAGGTATTCTTTTCTTATTGGGTGCTCACTATTTCTTCATATAAAGAGTGCAGTAGTCTTTTGGAATTATGAATTTTTTAGTTGAAAAATCATATCAGTAAAAAAAGGTGAGTAGGTTATTATTTAACGCATCCAAGGACGCCATAGATACTTTTTTTTCAACAGAGTATGCATTAGGCATACCTCTGGAATTAAGCATATATCAATTTGCCCACTAGCTAGTGATGCATGCATTGCGATAAAGCCACTGCTACGACCCATCAACTTCACAACCCCAATGCCACGATAAGCACTGTGAGCCTGTCAAGAAAGGAAAGAATTTCTACTCAAAATATTCTGGAAAAAATTAAGAATGTACAAGTCAAGTCCCAGATGGTTCTTAAAACTTAAAAGTAGCGCATAAAAAAGTCAATACTCGCTTTCTGGCTCGTTGACCACACGAGGACCACTCACGGTGTCGGGAGGACGAGGCTTGTCGGAGCAACACGCACCCACCATTCAAGATATACATCGTTGAGATTTGCTACAAACTAACTCATGGAATGTAATATTATCTTAGGTAATAGTATTAGCTCCTAGAAGGTAACATAAATGACATTATGTTGTTTGGTTCATGGAATGTGACCCTTATCATGTCATTAAAATGTTAGGGGCAATGTAAGAATATTCAAAAATATTACTCCGGGGTACAGTTTTACAATACCTAAGAAACCCAAGGTAGCCAGACCATCCCCAACATTAAGTCACTTATCTACCTCGCAGTAACAATCTCAGATTACCTTGGTAATATGAAAATTTGAATCAAAGAAGATAATCTCTAAGTTTTAATGGTAATTTAGGTTGCGCCAAGGTGGTGTATGACCACCTTGACGCCACCTGGAAACAGGTTAAATTTAATGTATTATCGGTACTATAAATATTTATTTATTATAGAATTGATTACAATTCAATTTGTATGAGATCAAAGGCTAAAACATTTTGATTCATAGTTAAAAACAGTCAATGAATCGATGCTCTACAAATTAAAAAGCATCAAATATCTCACATTTCATGTAGTATATGTCTACTATTGCCTAATTGTAGTTCAATATAAGCAGCACATAGATAAAACAATGTCATTTTAATTTTTAGCATCAGGCGCCTGGATGGGTGACTGATTTTTTTAGACAACTTTGCCTAAAATCAGGCGCTTGCCTTTTAGATCTAAGCAGTTGCCTACTACAACTGGAAGTGTAGATCTAAGTTGTATGGAATTGTTAATAGAAGTACAGAACCAAATTGAAAAGCATGATGTGGTCAAAACCTCAATGTAAGCAGAATTAATTGCTCTTTGTGCTTCTTCCACTGCAGTATCAAATCCAAAGGTTTTATCCATGAGCAGAATATCATTGTCTATTGTTTTTGGTACACCAACCACAGCCACCTTTAAACGTCTTTTAATACACTGAATATCAAATAAAGGAAGTCACGGATTACTAGTTTGTCACTTTAAAGATGTACAAGAACATATCCAAGAATCATTTGAACGTTGTAGGTTAAAAACCTCATCATGGATTGCATTAGCACCAGCATGTGTGCCGTTTCCACCTAGCACAAAGAGCATATTGATTCCTCTTTGCTGAAACCAAATAGTAAAGAAAAGAAAGTTAGTTCCTCACCAAATCATACCATATGCCTTATAGGATAGGGGGGGAAATTTTCACTAGAAAGTGTATTAAGCACACCTCAATACTGTCCACAATGTCGCTGACTTTAGGTCCTCCACGTGAGACTCCTAACAAGCTCCCCCCAGAGAGATGGATGTTTTGAACTACTTTCCTTGATAGCTGAAATTAATAAAGACTTAGAGAGAGAGAGCGATTCTTTGAAAAACATAAACAAACCCCAACTTTAGCCTTTGTTTGGTCAGAGAAAAATTTACTAATTTGAAAAGATGTTGAGCTTGGTTTGAAAATGGTGAGAAAGGAAGCAAAAAAAAA